AAGAATAAAATGAAGACAAAAAAGAGTACAAAATAAAAGTGAATCCAATAATAGAGAGATACATACCTGAACTCTCTCTCTCTCTCTCTCTCTCTCTCTCTCAAAAAATATAATATTAAAAATTACACCTAAAAATAAAATGCTTTACAAAAAATCCCAAACAATAGTAATGATAACATAAGAAAAACATATTTTTAGTATAAAAATAATGAGAATTAAAATTAACCACAATTTTCAAAACACTTTCTAAAAATGTTAACAATATTTAGAAATATTTGAAACACAAAATTGAGATATAATATAAGAATTGACACAAAAACCATACCCTCCCGAAAATTGGTCAAACATAGAGCCCATCCATAATAGCACAGCATATCATAGACTCACACCTTATATAATGATTGTAATGAGAGGGACAGGTATGGAGAGACAGATGGAGAGAGAAAGTTTGTGTACACCTAATACACACCGATTACATTTATATATGCAATTCATAAGCAAAATGGGAACTGGATTTTCAAGAGAGAGACAAAACAAAAATACTATAATTTCATCTCTCCTTCTCTCTCAGCTTCTCTCTCTCTCTCTCTCTCTCTCTCTCTCTCTCTCTCCGACCAAACCTACAGTCCCTTTGATTGTATGTGTGAATGAAGTGGACGTACAGTAGGGGAGACACAGAGATAGTAGTTTCAGGGCTTTTGTGTTGTAATAGTTTTTAAAGTCTAAAAAGTTTTTTCAAAGAAGTTTTATAATTTCGTGTGTCTTATATTCCTCTTCAGTCTCTCTCTCTCTCTCTCTCTCTCTCTCTCTCCGTATATATAAGTATTGGGTTTTGGTTTAAGACATAAGACATACACACGATATATACGGAGGCGAAGCAGGCATTGGGATGAAGAAGATTGCCGTTCAATATATGTGGAAAGGCATGTAAGGCGTGGCCCTCCCAGTCCTCTCTCCTCATATAATAGCTGTGCAACAGTTCTCTTGGATTTCATATAAAATTATATTTTAGTTTTTTTGTTTCATATAATACTTAATGTATTATTAGATAAGCGGAGAGAGAGAGAGAGAGAGAGAGAGAGAGAATGTTAAGTGAAAATTAATGTCAAAACATTTATTAACGCTATTTTCAATTGAAATTTCACTTTTAAGTTTTGCAAATACATTATTAACGCTTTGAATCAATAATATTAAATGCAATTTTAATTGTTAACATTAATTATCGCAATAGTTATGTTTGTTTGCATCGCTTAAAACACTATCGCATATAATAAATGAATAGTAAAAATTGTTTTCTCCGTTTAATTTATGTATACTTTTATATTTAGTCTCTTTATTCACATAACTCTTACTTAAAAGCCGTAAGAAGTGGTGTATATATAGTGAAAGGGAGAGAATTATGGGGAACGGGAGGTTCGGGTGGGGGAAAGGTATGCCCAAACTGAGAGAAACGAGGTGACAATACTCTGATGAATTGCTTTACAATACACTTAACAACAGATAACATAGAGAGAGAGAGAGAGAGAGAGAGAGAGACTGATAATAAAAACTTTTTTATGTTAATCTCCATTCGCTATACAATTGCGAAGCTCTGTATATACTGTGTATTTGTTGTATATATTTTGTGAACACAAACTTTTATAATGGTATAAAAGAGAGATGGAAAAAACTTTTACTCTCATTTTATAATACATTTCCAAATACGGCGCCCAAAACCCTCCCCTCATTTCAAAGCCAACTTCGCTGTGTTGTGTTGTGTCAACCCCTCCACTAACCCTCCCCTCTACACAACACACATCTCCCGGTGTTATCTGATTCTCGGGCTTTTCATATAACAAATGGGTTACAAAAATAGCAAAAACAATGTATTTTTGGTTTTTATGGGCATTAAAACTATTTTAAACTATTCATTGCCTTCTGATATACAGAATATGAGTGAGTGAGAGAGAGAGAGAGAGAGAGAGAGAGAGAGA